AAAAAAATGATGGGGTACATTAACCAAGCAAGGGCACAAAAGGAACCATGAACTGAATTTTTTTCATTAATCTTTTAAGACACATTAATTGCATCTTTATCCCTTTTGGTAATTATGGAATTAGTCATTGAGTTCAACTCACCATCTCATCCCAAAATTGATTGTTTTTATTTTTACAATTAATACAATATTATTGCAATTTGACGCGTTTCATCATGGGATTTAACCCTATGGAGGATATTCAAGAAAAATAATATTCTAAGTTTTTCCAGCATGCAATCTGTCATGGATTCTTAGTTTTCCAATCACCACTCACATGCAATCACTGGCATATTGAAAAGTAATGCCTTTAACTTTTAACATGATTTCATCATAAATATAAATGTACTCCCAAAAATCCTTTTCATTTTTCTAAAATCTAAACAACTTTTCATAGTATTTTCTTCAAAAGGGGAAAGTGCAAAACGGAAGGTAAACCAATAACTAGGAACTTTACTTCCACAAGCACTTCTTTCATTCTTTATAATCGATTTATGTGTTGCATGACTAAATGATGCTATCAGATTGCTAATTATTGAGAAGTCAGCCTTACCACCCAGGGTGTCCGCCGATGACCACTCAAGACCTTTAAGCATTTCCCAGTTGGACAATCAATTATCTTTACAGTATGATCTCCACTGCAAACATAAAAACATGGAGGATGCTATTAAAAGATGAAATATAAAATACAACATACACATTGATATATGAGCAAAGATAGAGACTAAACTGGGTTGATGCAAGAGTAGTCCCATCAGGACTAAAAGCTGCAGCAATAGTTGACCTCGGCGGAGGCTGTAATGGGCAATACTTGGCTGATAAATGCAGCAATGACTCGGCCTCCACCCTGTTTCCCAAACAAGGATATAAAGAAGTCAATAGTTCTGCACTTCAATGTAAATGTCATATGAAATCATTAAACCACAGAAAACGACAGAGGAAAATATTATACCATGAACGGAGCTCTTGCCTAACATCTTTTTCTGATTCGCGTTTAGTTCCACAGGAATCATTACAGGGGCTTGAAACCTTACCCCAAAATCTTTTAGGAGATCTCTTTGTGTGAGGGGACAACTCTCTTCGAGCTAACAAGTGGAATACATTACTGCACGTAAAACTCAATCCAAAGTCAATTAACTATTTGACATCAGATGTGCAAACATAGTAATACTATTAAAAAAAGTTTAGCAGAATACATATAAAAAAAGGCAGCTAAACTAATAGAAATGGTGCATGAGTACCAAAACTGTCTTAAATGTATATTTAGAACCAATAATCAGAATGGAAACAGCATACACTGTAAGTCATGTTTATTTTCATCTCCAATTGTTAATTTGATTGATACAAATCAAAATAATAACTGGAAGGCAAGCTTCTCTTGCGACGAGGTCAAACATTCCAAAAATTAATAAATATCATGTTTTACATTAAGTGTACTTGTGCCAAAGCCTTTTAAGTTATTTTAAGCTTCTAAACAGCCACATTTATCACATGTAAAAAGCAAACATATATACGTTTACTGTTTGGAGATCAAATTCACACTAGAATCGAGCCTGACATTTTGCCGCACAATTACCCTGAGATATCTGGAGACTTGTTAAACAAAATGTACTACACATTCCGAAATACACAGAAGACTATATGTTAGCTGGATACCATTAAAATTACCAACAGAGAGTCAATTATCGTATATTGATCTATCGTATTAATGTCTAACAACTAAACCACTTAGTTGTAAAACTGCCATTTAGACTCCTAAACCTCAAGCTCAATTGGGTGGCCGCCTCATCTTAAATCAAAGTCACATATGGGGAAGGAAAAAAAACACATCTATGAGCTTAAGGATCGCTATTTAAAAAATTGAAGAAAAAAAAATCATTCATATAACAATGTACCAAATAGCAGATCGTGCATTTCGATTTGATCATTGATCTTTCACGAACAACCACAGATCGAAATAAACTCCGATCACAAATATGACTATGCAGCACCGTAATCACCAGAAAGTACCTCAATAATAATAAGAATAATAAAGATCTATAGGAAACTGCAGAAACTGAGATGCGAAATTAAGCTGAAATTCAGAGCACAAAACCGAACCTTCGCCTAGAACTAGAGCGGTCGCGAGGGCCCATGGATGGACCCACCAGCTGATGGAACTCCGGCGTAAGAACGGCGGGGAAATTCTCCGGCCACATCGACGATGAGCTCATAATAACCAAAGAAGAATTCAATAATATAAATGGGTATTCATGAATTCTTGTGATTACAAATTTGGAGCGTCCTCTGATCGCTTCCTAGCAGTCCATTGTAAATATGGATTAGACGGTCTCCGGTTTAGAGCAATTTAGCGGCGGAGGAGATCCCGGCGGTGGGGCGGAAGGAAGAAGGAAAATTCTAATGGAGGCTTTAGATGGAGGAGGTGTTACGGATTTTTCCGGCTCTCAGACAAGTGGCAATATTTGATTGCCATAAGGGCCTTCGATTTTACGAAATTGCCCTTCCGTAGGGGTTTTATTTGGTAGCATCGAGATTTTTTTTTTTTTTTTTTTTTAATCAACTGGGAGGTATCCCCACATTCACACAGTGGTGTCGCCACAAACTGCCAGCCCACTACAGGGCCTATGGCCTAGGGGGTCCACACACCAAGGAGTGGGACTAATCCTCCCAGGGGTGCACAGTGCCCCATCCATACACCCGCGGATCATTGGGTTCGATCCCGCGCCTCCAGCTTTATCTCCACAAGAAGACTCCCCCAAAGGCCACGGGACTACATGCCCCAGGGGCGTAGCATCGAGTTTGAGCCCACGCGATTCTAATGTTATAATTCGGTTCTTAGTTCCATTTCTTAGGTTCGATACGGGATGAGACAGTTCAGTTCGGTTCTCAATACGGATATTTGTGAAATTTTCAGAATCGTACCAATTATTTTTTCGGTTCGGAGAAAGTCAACGGTCAACGGTTATTTTTCGGTTCAGAGTGATTTCGGTTCGGTTTTCAAAACGGTTCAGAATTCTCCGAGTCCCGTGCTCAACCCTACCCCAGACCTACGTCAACTAGAAGAGAACCTATACCAATTACAATAGAGCCCCTACTTTTTATCAAAATTACATCATCCTCTTCAATATCTATCTACGTTGCGTAACGACAAGGTTACCTATTTACTAAATACAAAAGCAAAAATTTAAATTAATTCATTTTCAACTTTCTAACAGAATTTATACATTTGTTTTTTTTTTTTCTTCCAACTATTTTAAATAATTTTTTTTGCAAAGTATTTCAAAAATCAGTTCCTAATATATCTCAATAATTGTTCGACGTAGAATGTATGAACTTTTTAAATATTTATGCAACACGTTATTATTAAATTTATATGTTCACTATTGATATTACATAGAATTATTTTTTTTACTACTAAAGAGTCGTATTTTTTTTTTAAAAAAAAAATATCATTTTGTATAAATATATATTTATGTATATAACTGTAAATCAGGTTAAAAAAATGTATTCACTTGCAAATAAAATACTTATGCATAGTAAAATCGGTTCGAAGCACTTTTTTTTCATAGTTATTTTGGGACGTAAGTGATATTTTTTTCAGTTTGATTTTTTTTTTTAATTTACAAGTCAACGACTCCTAGCCCTTAAATCTCAACAATTGTTCCACGTAAATAAGTCGTGGTTTAAACACTAATCCATGTTACCTATTCCAAGAAACACAAGTATGATAAATTGTATTTTCTATTAATGCCAAACTAGTGCGTGTCCCGTGCGATGCACGGGGAAACAAAATTACGATTGTATTATAAATTAAATATATAAATAACATTAATCATGATTTATCTATTGTTTTTAAATTACATCGGGTTGGACACAGTCCGACCATATGGACCGAGAACCGATTTATAACCAGTCTAGTTCGTTTGATTAAGATATTTGCTATCGAATCCGTCAACACCAGTCGGTTGGACTGATAGGATCGACACGATTTTCTAAATAAATTTTGTTATATTTACAGTTATTTTTAATAAAATTACATATTTATATAAAATTGAGATTTATAAATTGTTTATCAATTAATTTGAATATTTTAATTTATAAATTGTTTAGATATTTAAGTAACACCTTTTATTAAAATTTATTGAAGAAAGTATTGTATACATTATATATATATATATATATATATTAAAATGTTTATAAATTAAAATCTGAACAACTACAAATGATCTAATGAAATAATTTGATCATTTAGATGACATTACGGTTATGAAAAGCTTATATTTATTGTACATTAATAAAAATTATAATAAAATATTATTTTATTCACATAAATATTAAGAAAATGATATATAAATATTCATAAATCATTACAATGTTGTCATAAGTATTGCTAATATAATTATTTGAAGTTTAGACTACATGACATTCACATAATAAAGTATTTAAATATTAAAATTTATATTTAAGTTCAATAATTGATTCGGTCTGGTCAAACTAATACATAACTTAGTCACCTAGGATCAACCAAGTAGTGTCAAGTACTTTTTAATATTTTAAATATCGCCTAAAAGTAATTCAATCAACCTGAGCAGTACCCTAATTCAATCACCCGAGTGATCAAAAGAAATTTTCTTATTTTCTTTAGATATATTTAATGTTAGGAAATAAAAATATTTTATGATTCATATAATAAATGTCTACACCAAATGATAGTATATTAATATTAAAATTATATATCTAAAGATGAAATAAGTACTTTTATTTTATGCATATTAATAAAAAATAAACATATTGATTTTCAAAAAAATAAAGTTAACTGATTGATTATGCAATTTAAAAAATATTTTTAGCGTTCATTTTTTTTTTTTTTTTGAAAGGCACAAATATAAAGACCGAGATTCTAAAAATTTAAAAAAAAAAAAGCAAAAATATGTTCTAAAACTTTGTTATATTTTGAATTAAAATTTTATAAATATAGAGACTGAGATTTTCATGTTGTTCGTACTTTCTAAGAAAAAAATAAAAACAAAAATATGCACCTTAATAGATTCACATTCACGTAATAAAGTATTTTCTATATTAAAATTTATATTTAGATTCAATAATCGATTTGGTATGGTCCATTTGCTTAGTCACCTGGGACCAACAAAGTAATGTCAAGTGTTTTGACTATTTTAAATATAATCTAAAAGTAGTTCAATCAACTTGGGCAGTACTCTAATTTAATCACCCGATTCATCCAAGAATTTTCTTATTTTCTGTAAATATATTTAATTTTATGAAGTAAAAATATTTTATGATTCATATAATAAATTTCTACACTAAATGATAGTATATTAAGATTATAAATTATATATCTAAAGATGAAATAATTATTTTTACTATATGCATATTAATAAAAAATAATCATAGTAATTTTCAAAAAATTAAGATTAACTGATTGATTATGAAATTTATAAAATATTTTTAGTGTTCAATATTTTTTTGAAAGGCACAAATATAAAGACCGAGATTCTAAAAAATTTAGAAAAAGCCAAAATATATTCTAAAATTTTTGTTATATATTGAATTGAGATTTCATAAATATAGAGATCGAGAATTATAATGTTGTTCGTAGTTTCTAAGAAGAAAAAATAAAAATAAAAATATACACACTTAATAGATCTTAGCCAAAATTTTTAAATAATAAAATAAACTAAAGCCCGAAGTTTAAGGTCGCATTTTACGTTGTCTGATTTTTTAAAAAAAAAATAATAATAATAAAACTTACTATTTGTGGGCTGCATTAAATTCAGACCTAGTTTTTGCTACTATTTTTGGTAAATGATTATTCTTATATAGATATAGATTCAATTTTCTTATAGCTTGTAAGTTGTATGTGTTGTTCTATGCGGTGTGTATTATATATTTAATAAACTAAAACCCCCATAGCCCGCGCCCCGCAGCTCAAGACGAGAACGAATCGGGTGCCATTTCCTCGGCCAATCATATATGATGGCACTCCGCCGCAGCAAAATGTGGGCTACAGTACACGCTGGTATGTTACGATGAGATATTCACATTTTGTTTTGTATTTTCTTTCTTCTTCTTGCTTAACAAGTAGCCGCTCGTAGAACTGTAAATGAACCGAACGTTCGGGAGCAAAAGCTCATTCGAGCTTGTTCGTGTTCGACAAAAGCTCGTTCGTTTGTTAATCGAGTCGAGTTTTGAACGATTTTTTTACCTCAAAAATTAAAAAAATAAAGTGCTGGAACAAAAAATACACAAACAATTTCGGGTGGAAAAAAAATAAAAAAGACGTATATGAGAATACTTTTTTCATTGTAAAACGTATTCTCATAATACGTTTTATATTGTAAAAATATTGTAAAACGTATTATGAGAATACGTTTTACAATTAAATATGTATGTAAAACGTATTCTCATAATAGGTGTTTTTGATTTTTTTTTTCACATCTTTTTTTTGTTTTGTTTTTTTTTTTGTCCAGTTGTATTTTTATTTTTTTAATATATAAATTTCCCGAGTTCGAATAGACAATTAGGCTAGTTTAATAATAAAACGAATATAAGCTCGTTCGTGAACGTTCGATTATGTTCCCGAACATTAGTTTAATATAATTTTATTTAATTTTTTATATATTAACATAATATTTTTAATAAAAAATCTATAATTTAATATAATTTAATTTATTTAGTTTTAATATTTTTACATAATATTTGTAATAAAAAATCTAAAATATAAAATTATTTTTATATTATTCTTTTATTTTTGCATTCGAACAAATAAATTTCGAGTTAATAAAACACATTTAAAAAATTTATGTATTAAATTGATTGAACACGAACGAACTCGAACTTTAACGAACAACTAAACGAACGAGCTCGAACACAATTTTTTGCTCAAAAAATAAACGAACACTGTTCGTACGTAAATGAACACGAGCTCGAACAGCCCAAACTCGGTTTGATTTGGTTTCGTTGAAGCAAATTATTTGCCAAATGCACATGACAACCTCACACTATATACTTCTTTCTCCCTTCTCTCATTTGAGATATAATCCTAGAAAAAGAGAAGAACATATGGAGAATGCTTCCAACACACCTTATAACTTGAGCTTCTAACACTCAGATCATGTGAACTAATTACATTTAGAACAACAAACCAACTGCCATTGCTAACTGATCAAAAGTCCTTGATCGACTTTTTTCCGAGCTTCGTTGGCGCTCGCTTGGCATGGCTCAAAATCCTCAAGCTTTGCTTCAATATGTCGATCTCTCTCTCCCTCTTTGACTCTTGTAGTTCCATTTTGACTACCTTTGCTTGCAGATTTTGAATCACTTGTCCCCTGGCCTGCACTTCATTCTTCAGCTCCACTAGAAGCTCTTCCTTCTCTGTTTTCCACCACAGCTTTTCTTCTGGAGAACAAGAAAACTTGGCTTCTTCAGCAGAGTGTTAATTGTCCAATTAGACATACAAAACAAATTAATGAACTCGAACCCCTTTACTAGAACCGAGGGGGAGAGGGTGCGGTCCCACGAGGTGAAGTCGTAGCAAAAGAGGGTGAGCATAGGTGTATTTTAGTGATGTTTGATTCTAAAACCAATTGGTGATGAGAGGAATAGCTAACTAAGCTTATATATTAGGCTCGTTTTTCCTATAGAATCAATGTGGGACAACTCACAAGTGATAATCCAACGCACTGAAATATAACCGTCTACATCTAACACTAGCAATAATCGAACGAAAAACGAACCCGGCCTGAAAAGTGAAAACAATGAAAATTGTACTTTAATTAATAGAAAGGAGCAGACCTTGATGTGTGCGGTGAATGAGGTGATCAAGCTCATCCTTGATAGCAAAATAGAGTTGTTTCCACTTATTCTCGACATGATTAGCCTCATTCGTCGTCCCGGGCTCTGAATGTTGTTGTTGTTGGTTGTGTTTGGAGACGAGTGTGTGGTAGAGCCTCTGCTTCTCTCTCTTCCACTCGGCTTGCTTGAGAGCGAAAACCATGAGCTCGCGCTCGTAGGCTTCGCTCTCGGCCTCTCGAATGCGCAAGATCTCGTCCACTTGGCCTTGTAAAGCCCTCACCTTGTTCTTCAGAACTTCTACAACCCTTTCACTAGGGCTGATGCGGCCCTTCTTCTCTTTTGCTTGAGAACTTCCCATATGCGGCCTACTCTAATTTGTTCTCTGTATCTGTTTTTTTTTTTTATTATTATTGTCTTTGTGCTTGTAAGGAGTGCTTGTTTAACGGGTGACTTGACTTTTATGACACGAGAGTGGACATACTACTATACTAGAATCTAATATACTAAAAAGTTATGTAGGTTGTGTCCATTTCAAAATTTTAATATTTTTTATAATTTTTTTTTTTTTAATCAAGATTTGATTTGAATAGGGAAATTTTAAAAGGTTTGGATTTATCCCGAAATTTGCATATCTCAAAAATTGAATCTAAGAATTGAATTGCTAAACGCAACCCCTATTTACTACATACTGCCTTCTTGTTTTGATCATTTTGTCTCTGACATTTTTTCGAAAAACTAAAAAGAAAAATTATTATAGAAATTATGTTAGAATTTAAAAATTATTATGTTATAAATTAAAATTTATTATCATTATGTTAGAATTGAGAAATTGTTATGTTATGAATTAGAATTGATTATCTTATAAAATTATAATTTATTATCATTATGTTAGAACTGATAAATTATTATGTTATAAATTAGAATTGATTATCTTATAAAATTTATTATTATTATTATGTTAGAAGATAAATTATTATGTTATAACTTGAAACTTATTATCTTGTAAAATTATTTTCTACATTATATTTTTGTTAGTAGACAATAATTATGAATGTTATATTATTTATTTTTTTTACATATAATTAGTATTTTGTTACATGGTTGATAAGTTTAAAGTGCTAAATTTTATTAGGTTATAAATTTTAAGTTTTTATATTATAGAATTATTTTTAATATCATTTGTATAGTAATTAGTACTAGAAATAAGTGTTTATTTATGTACAAAGGTATTATGTTAAAATATAAAATATTTATAATTTACATATAAGTAACATATTATTAATAATAACTACTAAACTAAAATTTATCTAAATTAACCTCAATCAAAAGATTAATTCAATTCAATTTTTAAATATTTAACATATATATTATTTAATTATATTTTTTAAATAATTTCAATTCTATTTTTTTTATATAATTTTAGTTATTACAAAAAAAAAAGGCCGACCGGCCGGTGATTGCGATCACGCTTGGTGGCGGTCGGTCGGCCGACTTCGTGGACTAACTACTTCACTCTTATCTCCTCTAAGAAAAGTGTACTTGCGGGCTTGTGATTCATAATATAGTATTCTTCCAAGAATTTAGCTTTCATGCAAACGATCACCTTCTGATCGCCAGGACTATAAAATAATCCACCTTCCGTTTTTTTGGGATAGCCAACAAACAATTGTGCTTCCAAACGCTTTTCCAATTTGCCATTCTCCTGCACCGGAACATGTGCAGGGCTACCCCTATTCGAATATGTTAAGAACTGCCTTATGCCCTTTCCATAATTAATAAGAAATAGTCTCTACTGACTTCGATAGAACTAAGTTCAAGATATACGATGATATTTCTAGTCCATTCCCCAAAAACGAATTCGGTAACTTTGAATAACTCATCATAGACCTAGCCATTTCCATAAGAGTCATATTCCTTCGCTCTTTAATCCCGTTCAGCTGGGCATGCCAGGTGCAGTCAATTGAGATACAATCCCAGCCTATGATAGATATGTTCTAAATTCTCCAAAGAGGTACTCGTCACCTCGACCTGATCGAAGTGACTTGATACTCTCACCATGAAGCTTCTCCACAACTGTCTGACAAAATATTCGGACTTGCGGTGCATCAAGTAGACGTATTCAAATCTCGAGTAATCATCAATGAAGGACGGAAGTGCAACTAGGATAAATATAGTCGACAAAATATGCAATTTCTCCCATTTAATAATATAAATATGCATTGTTTGGAGGCAGAACAGATTGGCTAATGTAACTGTTAAAGTGACGCATACAATAATTTGTGATATTTTTTTTTTTTTTT